TACTCCTTTAACCAAGATTTGTAACCAACCACCAACCCAAGTCCAGTGAGCCAGTCAGAAAAGGGATCATGTCCTTCAGTGATATGTTTCATATTCTCATGCAGTTTTGCTAATTGCTGGTGTGTTTCTCGAATGGTCAGACAAATTAAAGCTACACATTCCTTCAAAATCTTCACATCCATGCCCATGTATCAATAATAAAAAATCTATGGCAGCTCGATTTTGTAAAGTAGCGTGCCTAACACTATCAACATCAGTGAGTAATGCACTTATTATTTGTGAAGTCAAATTGAATTGTTTTTCACCCCAACATGCTAATCTACGTATGTTTTTTGCATTTATGGCAGCCATTCCTCCTGGAAGGAAAAAGGATGTGGCTACAACAGCAGCTAATGATGTCAGCTGTACTCCATCGTTGCATGTTTCATCAAACTTTAGAACAGATCTGTGTGATCTTAGCTCATGACTCTTTCTGGGATTTAACAGTTCTTTCATGTGGGAGCAAACAAGGTTAGTCACCCAAGGTAACAAGGACCACTGACAGGCCGTACAGGAATACCAGGCCATGCTCTATCCCCACAAATCAAAAACACTCCGGGTGGAAGCTTAAAACCTCCCGTTGTCTTCATGTCATAAAATCCTCCTGTTTCCAAATCATTTCAGGAGGAATGCCCTGCTACATTTTGATAACCTGTAAACAAATCATGTTGTCCATCCTGTGCTAACCTAATAAGCCATGGATCACCAAACCAAACCACTCCTGTGCCATTCACTGGCTGTAGTTGCGGAACCACCCCATCACAGTTCCGCTTCCTGGTAACATTAACATATTCAACAGGTGTAACACTAGCCAACAAATCCAATTCTTGCAAAGGTAAAGAAGTTGATTGATTTAAATTCTCAGTGACTGTTTTTTGCCAAGCTGCATTACTCATGGAAGGCGAGATGAAGATGCCATTTGAAATGAAACAACCATCATTGCTTTTGACTGCTAGTCAAGTCCACTCTCTGCTGTTTCCAACATCCATCAAAGCTAGTTTCATTCTCCCGCAACGGAATACCAATTAAACAGGTTCGAAAAAGGTTGTCTGCTTGTTGCAAACTCACACAGAAATCCTTTACCCCAGATGTATTTGCCCATGTTATCCAAATGTTTGCTCTAGGTAATATGTTAAAATCCCTTCACTACCGAACATAAAACAAGTTAAAATAAATGTTGTCCGGGTTGTCCCTGCCTTACATGTTGTCATCATTTTTATCTCTTATTTCCAATTGTCCTGGTATACGTGCCAACTTCGAGGAACGTATATCCCAACACCACAGCTCCTATCTACTATCTTATTATTCTAATTAACACACTGCAAAGTTAACTATCTTATTATTCTAATTAACACAATGCAAAGTTAAGCATTTACAAAGCTCTAAACTAATTTCTGCTAATACCCTCTACAAGCTATGTCATGTCCCTTGATCTGATCTGTGGTAAGCAGTTGTATTCGAACAGATACAGGTACATAGGTGACTGCTGGTTCGATGGCTGAGATGTCTAAAATTCTCTGCCTCCCTTTTATGATAAGCTGTGAAAATAATTCAGGGCATGTAACAACTGTTTTTCTGGACTGGAATGGGAGAAAAATCCATTCTAAAATTCGTAAATTTGGTTTTGTTTCACTCAACTGAATAATAAGCCCTAATGGGTGTTCACGTTCACCCCCAGGGTTAACTAACAAGAGAATGAGCTTTATCAACCAATCGCCTGTGGGTATAAATTGTCATTTTATTGGCTATTACCTGTAATGCTTGTTGTTGATCCTCATCCAGTTGACAGTGCTCCTGAGCTAGTACAGAAGTCCCCGGGAGTGGCATCAATGGCTTCAGATCATCATTCGTAATTCCACAGATATTACAAACCCACTGAATATCCCCTATTAATTTCTGCACATCAGACAATGTTTTTATTGCCATGTTAATTTTGACCTTTTGAGGACGAATCATTCAATTTGCAATAATCCAGCCCAGATACAGCCACGGCCCCTCTTTCTGAATTTTCTCTGGCACTATCTCTAATCCCCTCTCTCTGAGACTGTATTGCAGCTGACCCAAAATTGTCTCATAATCCAGCTGTTTTCCTGCTACCAAGATATCATCCATATAATGATAAATAAGTAAATGAGGATACTGTTTCCAGACGGGTTCTAAAGCCCACACAACAAATGACTGACACATCGTGGGTGAATTTTTCATGCCTTGTGTTAACACCACCTAGTGATACTTTTTTTGCTAGTTTGGCCTTATCTACTGATGGTATAGTAAAGGCAAACTTTTCAGCATCCTTTGGATGTAAGGGGATTATAAAGAAACAATCTTTTAAATCAATAACCACCAGGTCCCAACCTTCTGGCAACATTACTGGGGAAGGTAAGCCAGGTTGTAAGGTGCCCATATCACACATAATGGCATTAATTGCTCATAAATCATGTAACAGATGCCACTTCCCAGATTTTTTTCTTAATTAGCAAAATCGGAGTGTTCCTTGGGCTAGTTGAAGGCATGATATGTCCAGCATCTAGCTGTTTCTGTACCAAATCATTAATAGTTTGCAGCCAATCCAGTTTCAGCGGCCACTGGTCAATCCATACAGGATCATCAGTCCTCCAAGTTAACTTTAGGATTGGCTGCTCCACCGTGGCCACACCTAAAAAGGTGAAGCAATCAATCGAGCCCCCACCTGACTGAGCAGATGTCTCCCTACCAGTGCCATAGGTAAGTGCATCATGTAGGGACGTGCGGTTACTACATTGCCATCCGGAAACATAAATGCTATTTCATCTCTACTGATGGATGTGACTTGGGTCCCTCCAACTCCTAGTATTCCTGTAGTCGCTGGCACTAAAGCCCATTGTCTAGGCCACTTATAAAAGGGTATGATCGTCACATCCTATGATCATCTGTAATTTGCTCGTTTGTCCACTAGGGTGTCTCATCTCCATCTGCTCCTCTGGTTTTCCCCGACTGATGTCCATAGCTAATAAAACATTTGGTTGTCCGGTGGATCCAAAACCTTTTTCTCCCCTCCTCCTTTGTTATGCATTGGGTACTTTTGATTCAAATGGGGCTAGCTGAGCAATTTTCGATCCCTCCATGATAGTCAAGGGGGGAGTAAGTGTATACACCATTAATTCCCTCAAAATCAGGATCAATAAGTCCTGGAAAAATACCTTTCCTAGATGCCGAAGAACGTCCGATTAATAAGGCACTTAAACCATATCCTAAAGGTCCCACCAGGTTTGAATCACCCAGCCGCACCGTAGGACCCGTAAGAGTGACGGCTGCTGCTGCTGCCGGGCGCACCCGCGCCCTCCCGGCGGCGGCGGCGCGGCGGTCCGAGCCCGCCGGACTTGTGTCCTCCAGCGACGGCGGGGCGCGCTCCGCCTTCCCATTCCCTGCTTTTCTCCCATTCTCTTCGACAGTGCTGGCAACATTTTTTCCGACATTCTGATTTTAAATTACCCAATTTTCCACAATTAAAACACTTTTTATCTCGCTTCCCTTTTCTGCTTTTCCCTCGCACAATTGCAGCTCCTTTCGCAGCAGCCATAGAGGCAGCTTTTTCCTGATCAAGCATTCGCTCAGCTGCCTCCAACAGCTGAGCAGCGGTGGATCCTCGCGGTAGGAGACTTAAGGCTTTCTTAGTTTTCTCGTTAGTATTCTCATAAGCAAGCATATCAAGAAATCTAACTTTCATTTCATCATTTAAGTCAGGATTACTATTAATAGAAACATGCAATCTAGCAATAAATTTTGAATAGGGCTCTGTGGGTCCCTGTCTTATTCCTGCAAATGCTGGCGCCGATTTTTCATCATGTACGGCTAAAATTGTTCTCAGGGCCAAATCTCGGGCTATACGTAAACGCTTCCGGTTGAAGTCCCATTTGCCAGCCCGGGTTGGCAAAAGGACCTGCCCCCACCAGCATCTGAGCTCGCACTCCATACAGAGGATCTCCTTGCTGCCGGGGTCCGGCTGTCACAGCCTCGCAGGCTGTTTGCCAACGCTGAAAAATTGTTGGGAAGGTGTTAGTAAAGTTTGTATAATCATACGGACATCATAAGGAGTTAATAAATTTGCTGTTAAAATGTGCTGGATTATCCTAATTAGTATATGGTGATTTTAGACCATATTGTGTTGTTAATTTTGCCTCCTTAATTATTTTCCAATCGAAGGCCTCCCATTCATTGCCGTGTGGGTTACTGTTACAAACACTGATCCAAGCTGGTTAAACCGCCCCTCAACTATTGCATCCCGAGTAACTCCCCGCCATCGATGTGCTGGGTCGCCATTACGTGCCCCCCCTCCCATGAGAGCCGACGATGGCAGCGGCCCGAGGGCCAGTGTCCCCCGGACCAGCCGCCGCCCCGTTGCCAAAGGGGTTAACAGCAGGAGCGATGAAACGTACAACATT